TCCATTTAATTTGTGGTAATTTATTGTAGCCTACATGGGAAACTAATATGAAGGCCCAGACAATCTTATTTTATCCCTGTGGACAACGAGGCTGGGACTCAGATGTTAAATGTTTTACCACCACCACCACCACACTCTTTTTTTTCAGTTAATAAATATTGAAGCCAAAATTAGGCATCAGGGTAGTTGACAAAATATTTCTAATCTTAACAATTACCTGTTATTGTCTCTGCCCCTCTCCAAATGAAAGAAGGACATTTTAAAAAAATATAATAATTTAGATTCCTTTATCTTAAGGACAGTTGTATAAAAACTGCCCTTAATTTTGCCTTTCAGAATATGAAACGTTGATATTTTGTTGTTTTATGTTTATCTCTTAAGGGTAAAGGCAAAAATGAAACAGAGAGAACAAAATTTACTGTGGAGAAAAGGAAAAGGTAATAGTGAATTGCCCTTATTTCACCCGTGGGCTTAGAAATATTGAATTTTTAAAACATAATTTTGAATTAGATTTAATAAGGCTAGTTTTCCCAAGACTGCCTTACTCACTTGCAGGCTCTTTGACAAGATGTACCAATCTCTTCTCCTTCACTCTATTTGAAAGGGATATAAACATTAAAGTAATGAAGGCAATGCTATTCCACGTGTAACAATTTTCACTTTACTCTCTGTCTGTGTTTCTCAATTAACCTTTGAATTTAAATTCTCACCCTCAAAGACACTTTGAAAGATGTCCTCTCATCCCCTTACAGAAGGGTTACGGGGAGGAGATGAACCAGTCAGGGTGCAGTATAGCACCGATGAAACTATATCTTTCTCTGGTTCTCTAATGCTTCCTACCTCCCCAATATAACGACTCTAATTCTACCTTACAAATCTGGCTAGACCAGAGCATGTACATCATACAGACAGGAATTGGAAAAACAGGGAATCCAGGCCAGATAAACAATCCCTCAGGAACAATATTGGGAGTAGTCATACTAGGAGGGTAAGAGGAAGGTAGTGGGAGATAGGGGGAACTGATCACAAGGATCTACCCATAACCCCTTCCCAGGGGATGGACAATGGAAAAGTGAGTGATTGGTCAGTCACTTACATTGGTCAATATAAGATAGGAAAAACTAATAATACTTTATAAATTATCAGGGGTTGTGAGGGAGGGAGGGTAGGCAAGGGAGGGGAAAGCTGATACCAATCACTTACATTGGTCAATATAAGATAGGAAAAACTAATAATAATTTATAAATTATCAGGGGTTTGTGAGGGAGGGAGGGTAGGCAAGGGAGGGGGAAGCTGATACCAAGAAAGAAGATGCTTTGAAAATGATGATGGCAACAAATATACAAATGTGCTTGTATATTGTATGGATAGATGTATGGATTGTGATGAGAGTTGTATGAGCCCCAATAAAATGATTTTAAAAAAAGAAAAGAAAAATGACAAATGTCCTCTGATAAAATGGAATTTCAATAAGAAAAATACAGAAAGCACATCAAGTATTAAACAAGGGAGAAACTATTGAAAAATATATTCTTAAAGTTTTGGGTTTTGATTATAAAATTAAAGTAATTTCTTGTTGACCCTACTAATAGTTTATAAGTTGGTTTATGAGTGTGCATATTACTCCTAGCATTTGGGTCAACTTCTTGTTGGCAGCACTTTTGGGCTTATAGATCACTCTACCTAACATAGTGCCTAATGTGTAAATGTTTATTAATTCACTTTAGTTATTTAATTTAATTAAACACATTTGAATAAAAAGGATCTCATTTGATAGCTATTTTTCAAATGATTTTCATAAAGCAATAGATGACAAATACATGTACATCAAATTGTCCATGATTATACTCAGAATTGCATGTAAAATTGTGTCTATGTTTAAAATGTACCTCTGGGGGAACGTAAAGAGTTTTTAGTAGCACCTGAAATGAATGTCTAATTTTAAAAAGGAAAATACACTTTAACCTAGAATCTCTTAGCTTATTTTAAAGCCGTGTGAATCTCCTTCGATGTGTTTCAGGGCGTACTTTGCTCTGGTAAACACGGAGTCTCTAGGTTCTTCAGCTGTGTTCTGACTTCCGGAAGCTTTCACCAATAAGGTCTTGCATCCTAAATCTTTTCACCGTTGCTATTTTATCTCAAAACACGGACACTTCAGTAGCCTCGGTTATTGCAGCAGCTTTGAGTCTGGGATAATGAGATGCAAATCAAAGGAAGGTCTTTTGAAACATGCATAAACATTTATATTTAAAATCAAAATCTCTCAACAGATCATGCTCCCATTAACATTTAAACATTAGCTTACTCCAAATGTAGATTAATAGAAAGTTAGTGATGGTCTTGATTACAATGCAGAAACAACATACCACTAAGATAAACTCACTAGAAGCAAATTCATTATCTTTGCAATTTTTATTTGTTTTTTATAAAATTTATAACAGAACATTTTTTAAAAATAAAATTGATTGAAGCATAATTACATAAACTATGGAAATCTGAAATGTACATTTCAGTAATTATTAAATGTATATGTATCCAAATAACTAACACGTACTTATTTCCTGCACCCCAGAGGATCTTCTAGTTAACACCAGTCTCCAAAGTTAACCACTCTTCTGATCGCCATGGTGATAAATTAATTTTGTTTCAGAAAAGGTACGTTTACATTTGAATGAAAAGGAAAGAAAAATGAGGTGAACAGGCTTCCATAGGATTTTCTGAGTAGCCAGGTGGGAACAGTAGAGGTAGATAGAAGGAATCAGGAACTATATTGCCTTCTACCATACTCCAGAGTATTATGAGAAGCCTCTTATAACAGAGTTGTAAACATTTTGCTAAGATCACATTTAGAAAGACATAAGGCATTTCCAGCTTGCAATTAGATTAGGTTTAAAAAATCTCATTTAAAAATTCATCATTTGGAATTTAGAACTTACATCTGTATAGAAGCTGCGCCATAGATGCCATAGATGGTTAGAATCTCAGACTATCATATCAATCTATAGGAAAGTACAATGTGTCTGAAAAATTGCATCTATAAAATAAACAGTAGGCCAAGCCCACAGCATACATATTCATCTGCCATCTGTGACCAATGATGCATGCTGGGGACAGGGACTTCCCTAAAAAGAGAGTTGCTATAAACATTAGATTCTTTCTTATTCAAAAATCTCTGTCCTTTCCTGAAAAAAGTTTAAGAAGATGGGCTTACAAATTGTAAGTTAAAACCTTCCGACTACGGCTAGTTTCATTGATCAGGAGTCCGGTTGCTGGGCCCTAAAACACCGCTGCATCAGCGTGGAGGGCTTCCTTGGTTCCCTGGTTTCTCCCAAGGACTGCACACAGATACGATCTACATATTCCCAGGAGACACAGTCTTCTCTGACATCGGACTTTAACCGGAGGACTTCCTGTAAGCGTTGCGACATCTCCTCTAATCAAAAACAGTGTAGGAACTAACATTCAACGCCTCTCTCTTCATCGCAGGCATTTTATTTTATACTCATTTAAGACCCAATCATTCATCAAAAACAATCTCCAACTGCAAGAGTTTAAGTTTAATAGTCTCCAGACCCAAAATGAACCTTTTTGTTACTCTCTGAGTTTCTAGTATAACAGTTCTGAATTACATGGGATGTTTGATTAAGGAGGGAACCTGCATGATTGCATGGACCAAATAAGTACATCCCACCCGTTTACTTTTTGTTCTTACTTTTGATATTGGCCATTCATTTCCCTGTCAAAGAAGAATCTCTTATCCATACTCACTGTATTTGGCAGTCGCTCCCTTTTACAAATTTGTCACAAAGAGCTGCCCTTAAGTCAGTGGAAATCAAAATATGTTCCTTACAGAACATAATATATTCTCCCCTCAGCTTGAAATTCTTCGACCTGAGATAGAGTTGTCAAGTCTGATCACAGTAGTCATTTTCCTAGGCAACAATGATTTTGTTTTATGTCCTAAGAGGGACACACTTTCTTAGCATCATAATAAATTAGCAAGGACCAGTTTAGCTACTAAATCAATATTATAAATCAAATTAGATACCTAAGAAATACCTAATTAATCCAGAAAAGGATGAAAGAAA